ACTAAACATATCTTTTTCTTAACTACTAATTTACTAGACAAATCCATGAATGCCAAACAAATGTAAATTAGTACACAAACAGGGTCAAATTTTGCAATAAAACCTGGTGAACTAGTTTAGTGAAAAGTCTTTTCCTATGCAAATGGTAGCAAACAATAAAACTAGGCCTCAACTCATTCACATCATGTGGTCAATGGTGGATTAAAATCCACATGGTCAGACAAAAGGTAAAGTATATATAAGTTTTCTCCTATATACAAATGACCAAAGATTGGTAACAAGCAACACAATAATTCATCACTATGTTCTACAACAAGATACCTTAAAAACAAATATCTAATCCCTATCTGCTATCTGCATTCATTCCATTAAAACCAAATCATCATTCATTTATTCATTTGTATACAGACAGACAATTTACTGTATTATTTAAGCAAAATGCATAACATTTATATTTTCCCCAATATTCAAGCATAATCCTGCCGACTACGCCAAATGTTGTGGTCGTGACCTAAATATGAATATTAATCTCTTAATACATAATAATTAAGCAATAAGGAACAACATTAATATTTTTATAATTCATGGTATTATGGTCGAATATGTGGATAGAAAATACACAAAACGTTGTAATATTAAATGTATATTTAATATAACTATAACAAATAAACAGATGTTAGCAGAATGTCAATTTACTACAATAATGATAATACGAAACTACAACATATTACTTACAAAAGGTTGCTACATGTTACACAACATTTTACTTACAAGGCCCCAGCCCTTTGGCTGGGGTTAAGTCAGAGCTGGTACTACATCTTAGGTTCAGTCAGGTACAGGCAAAAAGAGAGTTTTCTCCTCCATCTGGTTTTTATTCAGTGTAAGTAGGCTGGCCTGTGATGTCACTGCCAGAAGCATATGTCTTCCTACACACTCCCCCTAGTGGTGCCCCCAAAGCATTACACTAAATATGCTTTCTTTATGATGTAAAGTCATTAATTAATAAATACCATTACAATTAGTCCCTAGCCTCATCTTATAGTTAGGATAGCCTTATGCCTATACCACGCATGCTCAAACTCCTTTACTGTGTTAATCTCTACCACTTCAGCTGGAAGGCTATCCCATGCATCTACTATCCTCTCAATAAAGTAATACTTCCTGATATTATTTTTAGTTTGCCCCTCTAATTTAAGAGCATGTCCTCTTGTTGTGGTAACTTTTCTTCTTTTAAATATAGTCTCCTCCTTTACTGTCTTGATTCCCTTTATGTATTTAAATGTTTCTATCATATCACCCCTGTCTCGTCTTTCCTCCTGATGCAATCCATGAGCCAGTTTAGTAGCCCTTCTCTGAATTCTCTCTAAAGTATCAATATCCTTCTGGAGATACGGTCTCCAGTACTGCGTACAATACTACCAAGTGAGTTCTCACCAGTGTTCTGTACAATGGCATGAGCACTTCCCTCTTTCTACTGCGAATACCTCTCCCTATACAACCAAGCATTCTGCTAGCATTTCCTGCTGCCTACCTTTAAGCCACCAGAAATAATAACCCCTAAATCCTTTCCCTCAGATGCTGAGGTTAGGACTCTATCAAATATTCTGTACTCTTGCACTTATCCACATTAAATGTCAGTTGCCACAGCTCTGACCATTTTTATAGTTTAAATCATTTGCCATTTGGTGTATCCCTCCTGGAACATCAACCCTGTTACATATCTTAGTATCATCAGCAAAAAGACATACCTTACCATCAAGACTTTCTGCAATATCACTAAAAAAAATATTAAAGAGAATGGGTCCAAGTACAGATCCCTGAGGTACCCCACTGGTGACAAGCCCATGCTTCGATTATTCAACAATATTGGAATCCAAACCTAAAGATTGCAATTTATTGATCAGCCTTCTATATGCACCATTGTCAAAATCCTCACTGAAATCTATGTAAGCAATGTCTACTGCACCACCCTGATCTATTATTTTAGTTAACCAATCAAAAAAAGCAATATGATTAGTTTGGCATGATCTCCCTGAAGTAATAGAAGTCACAAGAAAAACATTTTGCCCTCTCTCCTGCTTACCAATTTCATACCTCTTTGGGTCAGACTATTGTAGGTAATCAGGTTAGGTACTTAACAATGTACCGCATGTGCAAGGTTCTCCCTGATTTGCACTCACCCCTTTATCCAAAATATGGATGCAATGAATAACCGTAGTTCAGTCATGTAAGCTATAGTGATTCTCTCTCTCTCTTTTTTTTTTTTCTTTTTTAAAGATTCTTTTTTGTTATAAAGGGTACAGAAAAAAAGAAAGAGGGGCATGTACAAACATAAAATACATGTATTTATATATGAATACATTATAATGTGAAATCTGTTCATCTAGACCTGATAGACGTATGGAATATTGTTACTGTGAAATACTAGAACAAAAATCCTTCATTTTTTAATTGAACATTGTTTTGAATTTTTTTTGAGAACTGTTCAATAAAAACTCTTAAAAATGTATCCTCTTACCTTGTAGGGGTTATTCATATATAAAGAAATTATTAATATATCAATGATTATTAATATGAAGAATAATATTTACTTCTGTGCTTGACCGAAATATATCACTCTGATTCATCCCATGGCCTATGTATATCGGCAAAAAATAAGTGAAGGGAAATCCCATCTGCCTTTTATCCCTTTAATCAATATTGTATCCAGGGGTCCCATATCTTCAAATATTGTTTTTTCTTACCCTGGGTCGACCAATGAAGTCCTCCATTTCCCTCATAACCTTGACTCTTTCCACCCATTGTTTGACTGATTCTGTTGCCAATAGGCAGAAATAAGTGCGTTGGCTTCGCCAAGGAGTAGCCCCAATAGTATTTATCTTTGTGCTGCTATGTATTGGGCCACCCCAACAAAATCTGAGGAAGGGTAAGTGTTAAGGGCAGTGGAATAATCTCATTAGTAGTGGAAATGACTCCTTTCCAGAACTCTGATATTCTGGCAGAACCACCAGACGTGCTCCAAGTCTCTCACACCCTCTCCACATCTCCAACACCTATCACTGATTTCAGGGTATATATAGTGTAATTGGACCGGGATTGTATACCACCTAGTAATGCATTTATAAAAAGATTCCCTTTTCATCGAACTCACCAAGACTGTCATCACCCTTTTAAAAATACATGTCCAGTCTTTATCCGTAAGATGTATATGTAGTCCCTGCATCTATTTTCTCTCACTAACAGACATCCTATCCACCATCAGCTGCAGACAAAATTATATGGTAGATTTTAGATAATGTGCCCCTAGATATACTCCCCTGGCAAATGTGTCAATTACAAAGTATCACATCAAAAACACATTCTTTTATATATAACATTCTGACAAAATGTAGACAACATAAGAATCATTGGAGACTCTCACCAGGAATATCTCCTCTTTTTCCATTAGCAAACAACCCCGACTTTCAGGGAGGCAATGAAGCGATGACATTGGTACGATGGAGTAGTAAACCCCAATTTAAGAGTAGTACTGACAGAAGAAGTTATACCCAAAATGGTTAACTTTAAGAACTCAAATACATTATTAGATATAATGAGATATAAACTAAAACGTTTCTTACAGAGGTCAGTTATTCCATATTGACGACTTTGGGAAAAGACTCCCTTTGACGTTTTATCTAGCCGCACAGGTGACAATTCACACTCATTATAGTGTTTATCTCATTCTCAGGAATAGTCTCTTGCATGGCATGTGGACATTCACACAATAAATCTGGAGTTTTCTCCAGAACAAAAACAGCCTTCTATTTGCACCATTGTAGTTGTGCCATATTCTTTTTATTTTTTAATAAGGGCTTTAGCAGTGTTAGATCTCAAAATATGTGGATTAGATATCCGTATTGAAAAGTTCATCAACTATGCCTCACATTCTGAACTAAAATTTAATGGGCTAAAAGTTACACATATTTTAAAATAAAACATAGAAATAGCATTCAACTCCACAATTAAGCAACAGCTCATCAAGTATATGCCTTGAGAATGGAGAACACCATCAGCTAAGCATTGACCGTGGTCTCAGGGAACCCTCTGATCCTCACATTGCAGGCTTTTGCCCTATCTTCCACATTGGGCAGAAGTGCAGTTAATTCTGTGTACTGTTTCTGTACGGAGAAAATGGTTGGATATCTTATAGTTTGTGCCACTGAAACGCTCCCCACATCCTTCTCCACAGCTACTATACAGCTAGTTAACATAGATACCTACTCCATGACCATCACTAGGTCCTCATAGAACATGGCTTTGATATCTTGCAACAGGGCCTTAATATCTGCTTTGGTTAAAGGAATGTTTTATTTTTAATTTTTTATTATAAGCGGTGTATATGCTTTTTGAAATCTCATTTTCATAACTTATTCAAGAGTAATAACTATTCAGATATTGACAAATTCAAAAATTATCATTGTGATATTAGTAGATTAAAAAAGACTGATCTTTGCCTCTTTGTTTTCAACTACAAAACAAAGACTTAAAACCGTTTTGTTTCCTGTTGCTATTATAAAATGTATATGTGCCCGGAGGCTGAGCCTGACCACTAAACTGATCGGACATGTATAGCTTAAGCTCCTGCATTTCTTGCTGAAAATAGACTTTATGAGCCTGAATATGGGTCTTATTTGCTCAGTCTTTGATATATCCACAAAAGGGGAGCCTGAGCTCATACTTTTCTTGCGGCATGCTGGGGCCTGGACTGAGGGGAGGTGGCCGATCTCCTTGTGCTAGAGCCCTACACTAATACTTAATATATTTTTATTACATTAAAGGACTAATAGGCCCATTGTGATCTTTTCCTCTGTTGCAGTTGTCAAGCCTCTTGGGGACATGAAGACTGAAGATGACATTGATTTTCAACTTTTTCCTCCCTCAATCCTTCCCACATGTTCAGAGTATGGTGACACATTACAGGGATCTATGGAACAACTTGCAAAAGGTCTGGAAACCGGAGTTGTACTCATTCAATTCGAGGTAATCCATAATATTGATTTAGTTTGTTTATACTCTGTTTTGGTATTGAAGTGGTTAATGTCAAGAGCGTTAACATCCAGACTCTTTTCAAAGAAATGAGACGTAACATGGATGATTCTAATAACGAAAGGACCAGGTTAACATCACAACTGTGGTGATATTAAGGTTGAGGTTGGTGTTTCATATGAATATCCCTCATTAGTTTACAATCAAGGGATGCTTCTCAATAGGCATATTATCAACAAATGAATGGTTAGCCGAAATACATGAGTTGTAGACTTCTGTAGTCTCTCCTTTGGTCATTACATAAAAATAGAAAATGTGTTAATTCTGGAATAGTGTTATGTTTGAGATCCAAATCCCTTTCCATGCATCAACCAGCTCATATTTTTTAAGCTGTTCAGTCATGTTTTTGCCAGTAGCAAATGGGGGAAAGGTGAAATTTCTTCATTTGGATCAGTCATGTAAGAATGTGTCTAAATCCAAATTTTTTGGATCGTCTCTAGCTGAAAAACTTTGGCAATTGGCAATTTAAACATGACATGAAGAGACCTATTTATAACTGTCCCCAAATCTGATTGATTTATTGGAATAATGGTTCATGAAGTTTCCAATCACTCCAGTTCCATTCTGCTATTGCATTACACAGACCTGTTAAATATTCTGCCTTTCAGGCTATGCCTCAGTCTATACAAAATTATCAAAAATCCTTGGGCAAATTTGCTAGGTCCTTGGATGTCATGCCCCATAGGTGATTTATGTATTGGACTGTTAAAATGTTGTCCATACATAGTAAAATGCAACAGTTGATTTTATTTTTCACCAGACTACTTAAAGCAAATGTTTCGGCTAATAATTCCAGACACTTGCATCAGATTCTATGGTGATGTCTGAGGTTGATCTGAATATGGCTTTCCCACTCCATGCATCCACATGATCCATCCACCCAAATAAATTTGTACTGAATACGAAAAGTCCTTGTTGGAGATATCTCACTGTCATCTGATGAGCTCCAATAGGGATCTCCATGGATGTCATGAAGGGGAAAATGTGATCTGTTTGGAATAATTGGGGTTGATTCTTCCTCTTGTTGATGAATAAAAACCTTTGTGTCCTTGTTTGGATTTATAAACATGGCCACAAAGGTGGACCCAACTGCTTCCGACCTTCCCAAAATTGCAATGTGAAAAACTTTTTTTTTTCTTTTAAAAGTGGAACTGTTGTACTTTATCTAATGAAGAAAATACTCTCATATAATTTCCAATATGTTTAATAAAGTCTTCACCAAACAACCTGCAGAGTTTCCTTGTTCTTCAGTGCATTAACTGCAGGGGATGTTTAACTAGAACTGCCCATCTCCTTTCAGAAGCAAGTGCAAGATTTTCACTGATAAATAAAGAAATGACTAGTTGGATCCATCCTCTCAGAATATGGGTGTCTACTTGTTATCCCAGTTTAATGGCATTTTCAGATAGATTAAAATTGGGGCCAGTCTGATCCATTAGTCTGTACTGTCAACTCTTCAAAGATCTAAAGACCTTTTTTGGGGGGCCCAGCTCCAGAGAGTCAAGCAAGCTTTATTTGGGAGGGATGGTTTAGAACCCTGTTTGTCCTTATTTTATTATGAGCAACCTTATCAAGGGGTTTTCACTGTTGCACGTGCATGCGATGGCTCGTGCACGCAAGTGCACGTCTGGAGCTGAGCAGTAGTCTGAGGTCTGCGAGAGAGGGGAAGGTTGGCATGCTGAAGTAGAGCGTGCCTGCCACTTCCGTTAGCTCTGGGGAGCTAACGGAAGTAGGAAGGAATCCTCCCTGTCTGTTTGACAACCAGGGGGGAGTTCCCTAGGTAATTTATGAAAGTGCTGTTTTCTCATAGAAATCATTTGAACTTGGGTACTCCTCACCCATAAAACATTTTAGTAAGCTGAAGTGCTTTTGGGGTGTGGAGTTGTCCTTTAACACCAATCTGCAACAAATGTTTATACCTCTGCACACCAGGGTGTGCTACCCATAGTGGCAAAGTGCTACCCATAGTGGCAAAAACAAAGAATAGGGTTATTAACACTGTTTTTTATGTGACTTCACGCCCTACTGAAGATATACTCATTTTCCTGTTCATCTCTATTATTTCATTTTAAGCAATCCCCACAGCCCCCCTCTGTTTATTTTTTTTACATGTTCCATCCCCCTTTAAATGAAGTCTGCGTGGACAGCAACAACAGCTGTTGCTAGTTTTTAATTTTAGAGAGCAGATGCTACTGCTGGCTTCCTACTGTTTAGAAAACATACATGTATTATACCTCCCTTATACTAATATGGGGGAATCATATTAACCCCCATAGGCTTATTTCAATTTATTTATTTTAAAAAAATACTAACACGGTAGGTAAATTGTTTGCGATGCACGTTTTATGGCGGTTTTATCTCGGTCTACTAACACTTTTATTGAGTGTGGCTGCTTTAATATTGTCTGGCATTAGATCTAGCTGAAGTTCCAAAATATTGGATTAAAACAGTCGACAATTATTTATTATTATCAGCCAATAGAGTTAAACTGAGGCCATTGTATCTAACAACTGCGTGCTGGAGTGTCAGTTTAAGCAAAACAAAAGCTAGAAATGTCTAGCCATTTTAAAACTTTGGTGTGTAAAAAACAAAACATTCATTTATTGTAAGCGGTGTATAATGTTAATGATCTTACAATGTTTTACTACTTATTATTATTATTATTATTATTGAATTTTGTGTATTCCAGCAATTATATCGAAAAAAGCCTGGGCTTGCTATTACCTGCGCTAGAACGGGTCAAAATATGGAGAAAAATAGATACAAAGATGTTTTACCTTGTGAGTATTTATTTAACTAAAAATGTGTGGCTTTCTATAGAATGTTGATAAATGTGTATTATATTTTCAAAAATAAACTTCTGTAGTTTGACATCATTGTCCTAAAGGGTCACAGCCAATGCAGCTCAATGTAATGGTTATGCTACCTAGAATGCTCTGGCACATCTCTTAATTTAATATCAAACACTTGAAAAAACTATTTTATATAAACCAGAGCTTTTACAGCTCCCAGGAACCCCCAGTCACACTGATAATGTAGAATTAACACTTCTGCATTATTGGTGTCCATTTTGTCAAACTTGAATGATAGTCATTGGCTGAGAGTGCCGGGTGTGGGTTGGCCTACAGAATAAAATCAATTACTCTAGTGGTTATGGTGCTTAGAGTGCCCCGTTAAAGTTGATAACAGAAAGTGTACATACTCACTATATCGGAAAGCAGCTGGCTGCTAGGGTTCTAATCCGTGAAAATAAAAACTGCCTTGCCATACCCTGATGGGCTTGGCTGAGAGAACAAGCATTTACCAACATTTGTAACAAATTGTTATTAAAATGTTTGGATAATGGCCATTTTTGTATATGACTGATTCAGGTCACTGTGAAATGTAGGCCGTCACATGAAACAGGAGTATTGTGTAAAGTACACTTACTATAGGGCAGAAATAGACAAACTCTTACATATCTCATCAGCTTGAGAAGGGAGATTAGTGTATGGTAGTTGTTTTTGTTTTTTTTTACGTTTGCATTGTAACTAAATTGTAAAATGTAGGCTAAAATAATAAACAAGTTGTGATTATAGCAAAGATGGAGAATTTTTCAAATCCTGTTTTTATTGCCTAATTTTTTACAGTAAATTATAATTTGATATTTAATGAATACACCCAATGGAACCTTTATGGAAGAGCTTGTTATGTAAGATAGAACTTTACTAGTTAATATCTAAGATATAAATCACAAACCAATTGGAATTAAAACCACACAAATTGCAAATAACTGTCCGATCACTCACTGAAAGCAATAAATGAATGTGAAGTTGTGCTAAGAGAAAACTAGTGACTCTGCATTAACTTTAAGCAGAATCGTTTTCTCCATATGAAAGTCTTATGTACTTTATTTTTTACCCAGTGATAAAAAAAAACAAAAAAACATTTGGACAGTATTTACCATTCACTTTTATTGGCTGCCGGGAATAATTACAGCTGTTTCAGTGCTGTAAAGTAAACCTTTCATTGTCCGTGTATGTCAGTGCAGATTTAATTGAAGGCTATTTATTGTTTCCTTCCTGCAGATGATGCCACCCGAGTGGTTTTGGATGGAAGTGATGACTACATAAATGCAAGCTATGTAAATGTAAGTAACACACAATCTTACAACTAAACTGCACTGTGCTGTGTCTTTTATTAGACACTCTGTTTAACATTCACTTACCCTGGAAGTTATCTAGTAGTATGTTATTTATTATTATTTAATGTGAAATTTAGTGGTTATAGAAGAAGGTAGTGATATAAACATGATTTAAAGGGTTACTCCAACCATTATAACCACTACAGCCTGCTCTGCTGGTCGTGATGATAGGAATACCCTTGCCCAGGTTTCTGGTAACGGGACAAAATGTTTTGTAACAGTTTCCCCTCCTACCTGGATACTGCAAGGTTTCTGGGTTTTTTTTGTTTTTTTTTATTGGAAGGCTTACGACATCCAGCTTCTGAAGAAGCCAGATGCTGATCCTGATGCTCATTGGTTGAAAGCATCAGAGTCTTTGCATTGAAGTATGAAAAGAATTGACTATAGCCAGCCCAGATCTTGTTCCAGGCTGGCTACTTATACCCTAATGATGCTGCCAGAAGTGGAGTTGGGCCCCAGCAGCCAAGGGGTTAAACTCTGTATAGGCATAGTTTTATATTAAAATGCTATATTTCTATACAGAATCCAGAAACCATGGCCACTTTAAATCACTGAAGTAGTCATGGTACTTGGAGTAACCATTTAAAAAAAATTCATAATCATATATTAATTTCTGTCTTAAAATTGGAATACACAAATTGCTTGTCAACTTATTTATAAGAATTTACCAAGCTTGTTCCCCTAATATCCTAAATTTGCATTGTTTCCTGACCCAATCTTTACCATTGGATTGCACCTTTTTGTAAGCAGAATTATACATATCATTAAAACTTAATAGCCAAAAGATGACTGATCTACATTTCACATGAAGCTAGATAATTCTAAGTGCAAACTGGTGATTGTACTCGAGCAGACTTTGTCTACCTTAAATCAGGGTTAAACTGAACACGTTTTGTGGCAGGTGTCATGACACAAATTCCAGCATACTGTGAACAGTTTGTATAGTTGAATCTATAAATACATTTTTTTAAAGTCTGTTATTACTTTTAATTCAGGTCCTGGCCGTCATCTGTTTCATTAATCATCAATGCCTGTGATTTGGCTGCAAATGTATATGGACATTATGCATGATATTTATTTTTTTGTAAGACAGTCATTCCACTCCTAAGTATTGCACTGTGGCTAATGGTGGAGTAACTGGGCCTTTGTTAAAGTGATTCCATGGACTATAACTCCATTTGTTATTTCAGAACTCTAGAACCAGTGCTTTAATAAAATTTGTCTAAAAACATCTTATAACCCAATGTACGTCTTAATTTAATACTGGATACATTTTCCAAATGATTTAATATTTTTGGAAATACTTTAAAATTATTTAATATTATACAAAAATATTCTGTCATATAAAAAGGTCATAAATATCAAAATCAATTTTATATATATATGTGTGTATATATATATATATATATATATATATATATTTTTTTTTTTTTTAATATATATATTGAAAAAATATATATATTAAAAGTGAATCCAAAAATAAATCATTTGGAAAGCTTTTGGAAACAATATTAAATTCAGGATGTCATTTCTATAAAACCAGATTCTAAATGCTTGTCGAGTACATTAATAAATTGAAAAAAAAAAGTTAATCTATATCATTTTGCTTAAATTCGCCAACATGTGATTAAAAAAAATATATATATTTTTTGGGACAGTGTTAAAATAAAACCTTGCAATTTGTTAATTCAAATTTAAATTTATACAGCTACATAGTAATCTAGGTTGAAAAAATGACTCCATCAAGTTCAACCCGTTAAACCTTTAATTTCTCACAGATGGAAATTCCCTCATCTGATATTATTAACAAATATATTGCCACTCAAGGACCTCTTCCACATACCTGTTCACAATTCTGGCAGATGGTCTGGGACAATAGGTTAACAATGATCATCATGTTAACAACTTTAACGGAACGAGGAAAGGTAGGTAAACAAGAAAATACAATGACTTGTATGTATGTATGTGCGTATATAATGTGTCTGTGTGTGTGTGTGTGTATATATGTATTTTGGCATCTTGTCTACTGGACTAATACGGCTAATCCAATTTACACTATATACACCAAAAAGGTTATGGTGGGGAAAAATTGTGATTGAAAACCCCTTCCACCTGAAGTCTTTTTGTTTAACATTGTACTAACTATCCACAGACTTCAGGTGGAAGGGGTTTTCAATCACAGTTTTTCCCCACCATAACCTATTTGGATTTTGCTTCCCAAGCACTACCAAGCCTCAATAAGCAAACCAGTAACCAACCTCATGCTGATGAGTTCCATTAACAACGAAACAGCTGTCCATGAGTGGTTCACTGGTTTTGCATCTTTTCCTAAATTTGTGTTCTAAGCAGTTGTATACTGCAAACACAGATTAAAAGGAATCCATGTTTAAAATGGAATGACATTTGATTCTTTGTTAAACTAATTTGCATATGCCCACCCAGAATCCTTTGCGGTTGTAACATCACTGCAGATTTGGGATTTCTGTGGGAAAAGCAAGTCTTATGGCTTGACTTGTGTGCAGATTTTTGTTTAACATTGTATTAACTATATATATATATATATATATATATATATATATATATATATATACACACACACATACACACTTACATTGATTTGACTGCTTAATATTTACGTCTGTCATTATTTAATTTACAAATTTGCTAAATATCTTAATTGGATAAGTGTAAATTATAATACAGAATAGAAATTGCAATATACAAGTATCCTAACCATGTCCATCTCTTCCTATACATATGCTGTAGATAATTTATTAAATGTAAATGTGCAAAGTAAAACATAGTTGAGAGATAGAGAAGCTAAAAAAAAAAAAAACATACCATGGTGTAACTTTTTCTCTATAAGCATCCAGACCACTTCATCTCAATCACGGTGTTGGAGTGCCATGTCCATGTCATGGCTATCGTGTTCTGCAGTAAAGGCAATGCTTACATTGCAGGGTAGAAAAGTTTCTAGTGGATGACACACTGACAAAATAACTGGGTAATAGAGACCATTTAAATGGTGTACGGTGACATTTTGCTACTTTTTTTCTATGGAAAAAGATTGTATTGGCTGAGATCATCACGATTGATTGATCTCGGCCAAGGAAGCAGGCCAACCGCAGAGAGAGCAACACAGAATGAGAGAAAAGGTGGAAGAGGGGTGAAAGGGCATCACCTAAATGTTGTTCAGAATGTATATTTGTATTCCTAGTGCTCCTTTAAGAATTAAATGCTAGTGAGACACTTGCAAATGTTCCATAGGGAATAACCTAATAGGAGTTAGCCGAAAGATTAATATTCAATGTTCTCCTCCAGTTACAACCATCTTTCAGGTTGTAACCATGTTGTCATGGACTAGTCAACAGAGAGTTCTCTAACCTCTGTGTTTCTTGCACAATGCATTTCATCAAGAGTGTCAACTTCATTGAGGGGCCAAATATATATTCAAATCACCACAGCACAATCTAAAAAGTAAAAAGGAGAAATAGCTTTTTAATTGGTTTCTCCTGTTACTGACTAAGTAAGCTTTTCAGTGACTTGGTAGTTATAATATCAAAGTTTAATCTCACTGCTTTTGGATTGATGAACATCACTATCCTTGCTCCATTCTTGCACTAAAATAGCAATGAACAATTATGAACTATAAAATTATAATTAGTTAATATCGGTCTAATGACTACTTTTTTTTTTCCAATAGACGAAGTGTCAGCAGTACTGGCCTGATCCTCCAGAGGTTTCAGAGTATGGCAACTTTCAGATACAGTGTCACTCGGAAGACTGTACTATAGCTTGTGTTTTCAGAGAAATACTAATTACAAATATTGAGGTAAGTGCTTATGGTATTGCCCTTCTCATTTACATTTCAATATTTTTTTCTGTTTTTAGAAATATCATTTTAAAATATTTTTACTACAATATTTATTGCATATGTGAGTGTGCCTGTGTACAGTTTATATCATAGTATTCTTATAACCATTCTTCCAAAATACATCATATTGACATAATTCTTTGTTTGTAGCTTTTAAATCAAAGCTACGAAAAAGCCTTCCCATTATCAAATCCCATTAATTTCAACTAAATCTCTGAGTGAATTTGTACACCGTTTGTCACTGTTTCTGCTGACTAATAATTAAACAAATACCCAAAAGGTAATGGGAACACAAAGTTCCCACTTAGCCGAATTGAAGACATAGAAACTAAAAATCCAGTAATAAAACAAAAAATTGTTACAAAATGCCACTGAAAGTCCACAGGAGGTTTAATCGGCACAAAACAAAAAGTTACAAACAGGGGGAATGGTCACACCAAACACGTTTCGGACCTACAGGTCCTTAGACATACAATTATTGTATCTAGCCAAACTGTTACTAGTCAGAAACCCTTAGTGGCAGATAATACTCTTTGAAATCAATTTCTCAGCGTATAAAAAGGTTAATATGGAGCAACATGACAATAAAACATTAAATCTTCTCCCTTGATATGTAGGAATTAATCCACTTACTCCCAAAGTTAAGTTATGTCATTTATATAGAAAGTCTTAAAATGAAATGTTCTCGGATGTTCACTGATCTTCATCTCCCATGACGACCTGTTCTCACCACTGTCAAACTCATTCGTAATATAATCTCCCTTTATTTATTTTCCATAATGGACATATTAGTTATGAAATATTTTGTTTTAATGCATGTGTTCATTCTGTAACTATGTAAACCAAATGTTACTGTAACTTATAAACAAAACAATTCCTTACTTTTTAAGGACTTAGTTATATTGAAGGATGGCAATAGTGCAGATAACAATGGCATGTCTATGCATTTAAAATAACAATAGTTCATAAATAGCACATGGTGGTATAGTGTTATAAAAAAATCTAAATGCTTCCTGTCTGTGGAATGCACCAGGAAAGTGGTCTGGGTGACTATAGTGTCCCTTTAAGTCTACTACAATTTGTAGACAAAACCTATAAGATAATGTTGCAGAACAAGAGATGTATTACTACTTTAATTGTATGTGTCACAGTATGCAATACAGTTTATTGGCTTAAAAATAGAGTACAAAGAGTTGTCATTAATGGTACATTTTCAAGCTGGACAAAGGTGGCAAGTGGTGTCTGTTCTGGGACCCCTTCTATTTAACATGTTTATAAATGATCTTGAAAAAAGCATTGAAAGTCATGTTTCAGTGTTTGTAGATGACACAAAACTGTAATGTAATACAATGTTAGCAAGATATTACTTTGCTGCAGAGGGATTTAGATAGACTGGGGGACTTGGCACTCAAATGGCAGATGAAATTTAATGTTGAAAAATGCAAAGTTATGCACTTAGGTGTGAAGAATGCACAAGCAATGTATACCCTTAATGGAAGCAAATTAGTGATAACAACACACGAAAATGACTTGGGAATTGTTATAGACAACAAACTATGCAACAATGTGCAATGTCAATCAGCAGTGGCTAAGGCCAGTAAGGTATTCTCATGTATAAAAAAGGGCATTCATTCTCGGGATGAGAATATCATTTTACCTCTTTATAAATCCCTGGTAAGACCACATATTGAATATGCTGTGCAATTTTGGGCACCTGTTCTAAAAAAGGATTTTATGGCACTAGAAAAAGTGCAGAGGCGGGCTACAGAATTAATAAAAGGAATGGAACATATCAGCTATGAAGAAAGGTTAACAAATTTAAACCTATTTAGTTTAGAAAAATGTCGCCTGAGAGGGGATATAATTACAAAATACAAATATATTCAGGGCCAATACAAACCATTGTGTGGAAATCTATTCACAAACCGGCCTTTACATAGGACACAAGGTCATGCGTTTAGACTGGAAGAAAGAAGATTTCGTCTAAGGCAAAGAAAATGATTTTTACTGAAAGAACAATAACGATGTGGAATTCTCTGCCTGAAGAAGTGGTTTTACCAGTGTCCATACAGATGTTCAAACAGCAACTAGATGCATACTTGCAAAAACAGAATATTCAAGGATATGATTTTTCAATGTAGGGTTATAGCTTCTTGATCCAAGGATAAGTCTGACTGCCATTCTGGGGTCAAGAAGAAAGTTTTTTCCTAGTTTGTTGCAAAATTGGAAGTGCTGCAAACTGGGGTTTTTTTGCCTTCTTTTGGATCAACAGCAAAAAACAAATGTGAGCAAGGCTGAACTTGATGGACGCAGGTCTCTTTTCAGCTATGTAACTATGTAACTATATCGCTCTCCATACAAATTGTGCAACTAAACAAAGTTGTGTATGATTTTTAGTTTTCCAAATTTCATTACAGAGGTATGTACTCATTACTTTACAGTTGTGAACTTAGCAAAGATAAACATTACTGTCATTTTATATCCTGCTGAAATATTGTCTGCAATGTTTTTTGGCTTGTAGTCTTATTCAAATAAGAAAATGTCATCACTACCACTAACTGCCCATTATTGAACCAGACAGGTGAAGAGTTTCCTGTATCTCATTTGCAATATGTTGCATGGCCTGACCATGGAGTTCCTGATGATTCATCTGATTTCCTGGAGTTTGTGTCATCTGTAAGACAAAAGCGAATGAAGAACCAGCCAATCCTTGTTCACTGCAGGTAGAATTTCTAAAACGCACAACATTGTTGGTCTTTGATTTACAGTCTGTACAGTTGCACTTTACTACAGCTATGTGTGTTATGCCACAATATATATTTTTTTAATGTCTTATTTTCTAAAACTATTGTTCTTGAATGGATTACATTGATATATGGCAATCTTAGAAGGCATAGACTTGCATAAGACAGTGTTCTAATAATGATATACAGAAGTGGCCAATATGTGATTTGACTTTATACAAGAGAAAATTTTGAAATATGAATCCAGCTCAGGATGGCAAACATTATAGAATGACATACTGTAGAGCAGTGTTATCAGAAACTGCTTCCTTTTAAATTAATGTGAGTTTTCAGTTGGTGTTCGTCTAGCCATATAATGCAAGCATAAGCCACTCTTTTTCTTTTTCTCTTTTTATAGCGCTGGCATTGGTCGTACAGGTGTCTTAATAACAATGGAAACAGCCATGTGCCTAATTGAACAAAATCAACCTGTCTATCCACTGGATATTGTGAGGCAAATGCGAGACCAGCGTGCAATGATGATCCAGACATCGGTATGTTACAGATGTGTGCATGAGACCTATATGTGTGAATTGAGTCTTTTAAATATCCCAAATATGCAAGCATAGGTACCTATTTATATATAAAATCAGAGGTAGGAGCAATGTTTGTGCTTGCTGAAGGTTTAGAATTCCATTCATATGGTTAGAATAGAACAGTATATGTTATAATTGTAATCAGTCCTTTAGAACAGTGGTCTCCAATCTCAGTCCTTAACACACTGCAACATCCAGGGTTTAGACATTTCCCATTTGTGTTCCAATGGGCATACTAACAAAACCTGGCTGTTGTGTGTACCTTGGGGATTGAGTTGGAAAGAAATGGTTACTGAGAGTTCACTGTACATTCTGTATCTGTATGATATTTAGTTCCAACATGGGAGAGAGAGTTAAGTTGTCAAACTATGCAATATCACACAAACTGTAACAGTATATTAAAGAGATAAAATTATAGTGTATACATTGGGATAGCCGGCTGCTAGTAAGCGTATACACTGGCAGATATGTTCTAATTAAACTTGATATCCCGTTGCAGGATTCTGATGTGGTGTATCTGCATGAAAGTGTTGTATTATTATGCAGATAACACAGCATCCATTGCAATCTCTTCTGAGAAAGTATTACATAACATAATTACTTTAAGGTGATTAGTTCTAGAACTGTTGTGGATCAGTGTTTTTATGGAAAAGAACATTCATTTAAAAAAAAGTTCAGTTCTGCAGAACTTTTGTTAAAGTAGATTTCGGTTACTGTTTTTTTAATCAAAATATTATTCACTAAAGTGAAAATTCAAAGTGAATTTCAGATTTTTAGGCAAAAGTAGAACTGGAATCACATCTTGCTTAGCTAATATTTCCAACTCAACTATTTTCAATTTAAATTTGAAATTTACTTTGAATTCTCACTTTAGTGAATAACCCTGAAATTGGTCAGTGACAGCCTAAGTAGGGAAAAACGAGAGATTCTGATTTCCTGTGAAATGGCTTTGCTTAATATAAGTTGTGATTGAACCAAAAATGTTTTACAAAAAGCTCCACCTCCTACTAATGTTCATGGGATGGAGGGGAATAAATAGCCGTGTGGGGATCTAGTAATTAAAATCACACCTGTGTCATTTAGTGTTGGGTAGATGTAGATGTAATGTTTATGATGAATAGGCGTTATCTGAATTGCAGAACAAAGGATGCTCAATACACTGTTTTTATTTCATTACTATTTACGTTAGGGCTAGAGAGAACCTCGCAATCATGAGCTCCACTATTTACGTGTTTACTCCAAAGTGTATTGATTCTTCTTTTTGTATTGCTCCTTATCGTCTATAATTTTTTTTTTTTTGTCTTACTTCAACAGAGTCAGTATAAGTTTGTTTGTGAAGCCATTCTCCGTGTTTATAAAGACGGATTAATTAAGCCGTTGCATTGCAGTTAACGCATTCACTCATGTAAAGTTGAATGAGGTCCCTACGCAACAATAGAGCGACATGTCTGAAACATCAACATGGGAAACAAGCACATCTGTGGCACTTTAAATTTCTGTAAAAGATTTTTAAGTTCTGTACATAAAGGTTGTGTATATAATATGTCATGTATATCTGTTTTAGAGAGTTGTATAAAATCAGTTAGCACATATTGTACACATAAAATGAAAAAATCATGGAAACGGAACATTAGGTAATTTCTTGCTTTGCCTTAGACATGATTTTATTGGGATAATATAATTTTTCCACATGGTTCATGTTCTGTTCGTATTGAGAATATATTTACTATTTTTAGAATGTATGTGGAAAACAGAATACAGTAATGTATTAGTTGGTTGTAGCACATATTTTTACAAAAACCGTGCCATGCAATAATACTTAATTGTAACATGATATACTTTGAAAGTACAAAATCCGTCTTTTATAAGCTATGTATTACTAGAGGGCAAATTAATTTATTTAGTGATGATTTGACAGCACAATTTACGCTGCAGCAATAGTTTGGTTCATTTTTTTATGGCCTCAGCCTTTAATTGAACACAATGATAAGAATGTTAGGACTGGTATAGGTCCATGTGAAACCGTAGTCATTGTCAATGTTTAATGATATATGTCTGCATTCCCATTAGTATATTTAGTTTTCTCTTATTTTTCATTATGTAGGGGAACATAGATATTACAAAATGTGGAAGGTTGACTTCATCAGATGCAATCTATGATCAGTAACTTCAAATACAAACAAATATATATATATATATATAATGTTCACATGCTCTAAAGGTATGTAATTAAAATCACAATTTATTAACGTAGGCATTTATGAAGATTATGTATACACGCAAACTAAAAAAGTGAAAAATACCACCAGGTAGGGGTCGACGTATTAAAAAAACAAAACAAAAAAAAGTACACTTAACTGTATCCCAAATAACTCTATTTGTGTTCTGGAAATATTCATTCACTTGTGGCACAGTATTAACTGGAAACAGAAATTATGCTGATTAAAAAAGAAAAAGGCTTTATAAAGCCTGTGTAAGGGTTCTTCATGTTTTTGGAGAGGCCTGTAAAATAGTTTATTATCCACTTTGGACTTATTTGAAATTTTTTTGGAGCTACATATAGTCCATCACATCTGATATCTAAATGATAATTTAAAAAGTGACAAAAACCTACTCTGCAGCGCAAGTTACGTGAAACAAAAAAAAACTAATCTGATGGGAAAAAACAAAAACGTGTTTGTATATTAATTTCATATAAAACCGTTCACGTCTTTGTATAACATAAATAACAATGTTCCTTTCTGTTGTCATATTTAAATAGTCTGATGTGATCTTACAAAAATCAATTTTTTCCCCAAAAAATAATACTAGACTGACCAAAGAAATATAAAAATAACTTTTCAATGCTCTTATGCAGAGTGATTTTTGGCTGCAGATTTGCTAATGAGGAATTCTTGCAAAATTCATGTTGATGTAAAAAACTTATAGGATTCTGTGAGCTTCATATTAATTCTACAAGAGTACATTATCGGTTTGCCACCATAGTCTCATGGAGCACTATAGAAAATATTATGCATTTTATTGTTTAAATACATTCATTACTTCATCTCTGTTATAGTCTTCCAAAAATACAAATCTTGTATTCAAGATTTAGATTCAGCTGGAACCTGTCGTCACCTGTATTCAACCACTTCTAACTTGTTCTACCCACTCAATACTTCACTAAGAACATCTCAGGATGTCTTGTTAGAGATTACCTACAAACAGAAGAAGGGGAACTGCAATGTACCCAGGTATGCAGGAGCCATAACAGGTTTAATAATAAAAGCTAGGTAAGCTATATATGGCTACTCCAAACTCCTGTCAATTTTCTTGCAGTGGGCAGATGCAAACCCTTAATGCTGCAAAAATGCTATTTTACAGATACAGCCTCTTGAGCTATCAGTCACTGGATATGGAAAAATATCCTATTCGTTGATCTTGTGGAAGTGTGCAGTTCCTTTTCATGATATATGGAAGCAAATGTAATCTCCTGCAAAAAGGCATGCAGAGAGATTAGGGATAAACCCATCCAAAATGCCTATATGTAAAGCTTGAGATACCCATGTAAATGAAAGAACAGATGTTCTACAAAATGTGAATGATGATTAGTAGAAAATCTCACTTCTTGTATCTATAGCCACTAATGTCTTGATAAAGACTTCTCATTTTGAGGTCAAATCTCATATTTAGGGTTTCTACTCATCATTCTCTGCCTTGTAAAGAATACTGTGCTAGATTAAACATTAAAGAACCCAATATCTATATACAAATTAATGCAATATAGATGCTATATTAATATTTCCTTGATAAAAATCTATTTTTGTTGGATATTAGGCAAGTGGTTTGATTTTTGTCATTATATCCGAACTGTGTTAAGTTGGTCAATTAACATATAAAAGTGGCCTTAATATTCTATTGTGTGTAAAAATTAAACCAGCACATATGTTTTAATGAACATGGAAAAGGTTTCAAACATGTGTCCATGAAGCTGAACTATAAAATATTTTAACATGGTAAAAAAAAAAAAAAAAACTTTTTTAAATGTATTTTTATTTTCTAAACATATTACTTTAAAATTATGAGTAGCACAAGTAAAATGTTTATATTTATTTAATTGCAAGATGTAACCACATAACTATTTGCCCACCTCTAAGAGCACATGCAAAGCTTTTAATAAGAGCATTATCTTGGGGAGTGTATTAAGAATCTACCCATTTAAAATGTATTTATGTGTAATAAATGGCTATTTTTATTTGAGATTTTTTTTTTAATTTGCATTTATTTCTTCATCATTGAGAATTAGAACATATTTATTTTTAAATTTGGGATGGAAGAATTCTATACAGAGTGTGGCATAGCACAAATGGTCTGACAAAACAATCCCTGGTTGACCATCCACCCACTCTCCCCTTGCCCCCTGCCCCCAGGCCCAAACAAGTATATATCTGCTGGAGATTACCATTTTTAAATGTACTATTAGATAATGAATTGAAATTTGAAAATCTATAAGCTTTAACGAAACCAGGCAGTGACTTGATCAATCATGGATTGTTCACTGAACTTTCTATTGTGTTTTTAAGCATATGGAGGATTGTAGTTCAGGTATTTACTGTAATCATATTTAAAAAGACAATATAAAGAATTCAATTATTACATTAATTAAAAATAAAAATCCCAGACAGCATAACCAACTGTAATCTAATTTACACACTGCACCGAGGATTTTATCCTTTCCACCAACGTTTTAAACTTTCAGTTTTCCCAGGTATTGTAAAATATGTAAGCTGTACCATGGGTAATCGAAGGATAATTACACAAAAGGTATTCTAAAACAGATTATGGCATTGGAACATGACCTGGATCACCATAAATACTCAAATTATCTCAAAGAACAAATGATCAGAAGCAATACTTGGTGAGCACATGATGACTTTATTTTGGAGAAATTTCAATAATGCTAAACTTTCCTCACACATTAGGCTCTAGAGCTGGGTTGGTCAAATTGTAGATGCCCAGATGGCAAAGCATAATGTAAGTTGCTATTATACAACATCTGTGGATCTACATTTCGCCCAATTAAGTTCTAGAGTACCTTGTACAGGAGGAGGCAAACATATTCTTTAGCACAACTACAAAGTTTACAGGTCAGCAATACACACAATAGCTATATCTGCTTACATGCCACCCCAGCCTTATAATGCAGTTGCAAGAAGCCAACCTCATGCTGAAGACTCCCATCTAGGATATAAACTGTGTGTACAGATTTTATATTTTTTTTTAACCAGCGCACTTTAGCCTAGGCAGCATTTCACAAGGCTCTCACTTGCAAAGTATATATAAAGATTGTCATCTTTACTTTTACATATGCTCCATTTACATATAAACCATTACATTGTATTTTACACATTTGCTTTTTATTTTCTGTATTGCACCAAAATAATCACTCTTTCAGGTACATTTTATACATCTTTCAATTATTCCTGTTTATTTAAAATTGATATTGATATTACCGTTAACATTTACAAAATATATAAATAAAAAGATAATGGAGTACTATTTGCACCACAAAAAAAAAGACCATAATAGCTACTTGTATATCTCCGACCATCCATCCCACTAACCAAGATAGTAAAATTTGTCATAAAAAATTTGGCTCTTTACATTACTTTTTTTTATATCTTTCTTTCTACAAAGTGTATATTTTTTTTAGTTGTGCTAAACAATGCTGTACTGACTCTACTGGTTCTAAATTGGAGAGTTAATATATATATATATATATATATATATATATATATAAATATAAAACTGATAAAGTATATGCTTCATAGTTCCGCCTACAACCCTTATGTATTGAATTCCGTATCTTGCCCTAAAAAGAACATTATGTATTTTAATTTCCCTGTGATTTGTGTCCCATTAAAATAAAGTAATACTATAGTATTTTTTTTCTTTTTTTAGATTAATTTTTTTTATAGCACACTAAACACAAGAACAATTTATTGTTTTCCTTCAGGCATACTAATCTTGGTTTGATTTCAAATATGAAATTGAGAGATGAGTTTTCAAAGCATTCAAGCTGCCTAATCAGTTCGAGATCAATAATTTGTTTGTCAGAGTGCTAAGCTTATGATAGCCAAGAGATTGGATATCATTCATTTTAAATGCATATTTTTGATGGTAATAAACATATTTATGAAATTTGAAAAACAAATGCATCTTTAACAATATTTTAATGTGCAGATATTTAAATGCATAAGCTTATTTATCAATACATGCAATAAACAACAATGGAATTGTAATGAGAAATTTGATCAAATGTACATTGGTACCATATTTTGTCTTTTTTTTACATATTTTGTGGAGAACATGAACTATTGATTTTGTTTATTATTTTTAATAAAATATGTGCTAAAAATTTGACCATGTAAATTATTTGATAGCCTTCATGAGCAGAAGCCTTGATTAGTAATAAAATTGTGTAAGTGTGTATACATGTGGTAGGTAAATAGTAAGTTCAGGCAAAAAGCTTTTACGTAGAGAAGTTATTTGAACTTTAATACATGGTTTGCCTAACTATTATTCAGGAAACCTGGTCCCATTCTCAAAAGGATGTTATCGGCAAGCAAGGGGCCACTTTCCAAGGATGAGTTGTGAGTTTGATAGCTAGTGGCCAAATTCTGGCTGTAGGTGAGAAGGGGCCACTTGCCCTGGACACTGGTTTCTTTGGCAAATGGCTTTGAAACCTGGACAGGAGTATTTTGCTTACTTACTGCTTAATATATAATAAACATTTATTAGCAGATGACCGGTTACATAAGGGAATTCACTGAAGAGTTTTATTATAGTGTTGTTACTAAAATTGTGGTACAAAAAACATCTGAACTATCTCTATGGATTATTACACCTTTAGCAACCCAATATTGCTTGTTTGTGTCTCAGATATTTTGTTGTATTTAGTGTCCATTACATTGATCATTGGTTGTAAGCTGTTATTAGCAGAGTACCAGTATTTGTATTCAATAAAACAGGATTATTAGATATCTTTAGCTATTTAAAATCATTGAAAAGCATTTTAATAAGCTCACCACCAAGATTTTATTAAAATGTATTTTGTTCTCTCATTATAGTATTTGACTTAATATTAATATTTATAATACTCATATTTGAAACAATTCTTACTTTACATACATACTCTGTTTTCTGCACCCTTTTTAAAACAAAAAAAACACACACACGTAAATTATCCCTCCTTTTTTTGTCTATACTATTTCAGGTTAGAAAGTTTGCATCCTTATATTGGGGTTGTATGCTTATCCCTCATTCACATTCAGCCACCTGGGTATTCAAATATTTTGAAATACATCATTCTTGCATTTTGGCCTTTTATTTATTTTTTTTAAAAGCTACTCTGCATTAAGATTTGCTCTAATTTTATGTTAACACAACTACTGAAGTACTTGGAAAAAATAAAATTCTCTCTCAAAAGCAAAAAATTCCCAACCACATAGACAAAAAAGTAATTGAAGTTACAGATTTAAATTTGAGGAGTTGGATACAGGCTGGCATCACCAGTGTTTCTCAATTAATAAAGAATGGGGTAATAAAAACTTTCTCACAATTAACGAAATAATATAAACTATCATCAAAAGAAACCTTTACTTTTCTTATATTAAAA